ATGTTTCCAGCTTCTATGAAATAAGAAAACTTCTGGAAGCGCTGAAATTTTCAGCTGAGCCCAGAACCAGTTAGCATCACAAGAACTCCTATGAGGCTAAATATAAAAAGCAAGGGATTCAGTAATAATTCTTGGATCTGGGCCATACAGGTGCTGGGGAGGTTTAAAGGGATTTAAAAACCAACAGGGTGTTTCTACAGGAAAAACAATGCCGTGATTTCAGTATGAGTGAGGTGTGTTTAAATAATTCCCCCTCCCCCATTTTTTTTTTTTTTTTTACAAGGAGAGAAAAATGCCTTTATGTTGCCCTTTTCCAATATGGCACAGGAGCAGAACCCGAGCTCTGGAGGAGGGCGAATTCAACACCAGCTCAAGTTGTCAAATGGTGGATGAGTCACTCGATCTTGCAGGAGGCAGTGGGGGGTGGGGGGGAGGGAGTTTCTAGCACCTACCTTACCTGTGACTATCATTTTTTGTTTGAGGGATAAAAGTGCCCACAGAAGTAAATGTACAATGAGTTTTGTACAAGCCTGGTCAAAAGTAGATAGTATTATTATGTAGCCTTTTTACAAAAGGTGCAAAGAATCCTATAAATTGATTCTCTGATTGTAACACAGCCAAGTTCTTTCTCTTTTTCTATGAAGGATAAGTGGAAAAATAATGATTTATATGCACATTGTCTCCCTAAGAAGCTCAGGGGACCTCATCAAGCATTCTTCCCCTTTCATTTCTTGATATATTTGCTGAGGATCAAGATTGATCGAGGAGGCTAAAATGAGATACCCAGGGCAGTCACTCTGCTCGAGACACTGTTGGTGACCAAAGCCTAAATTCTCCGAGCCAGCAGTTTCATGAGCACAAGAAGGTGTCAAGCCTGACTGTTCTATTCATCTTCTAGCACAACAGTAAGATCCCCCAGCAGTTCCCAGATCCAGCCATGTGCCAGAATCACCTGGCAGCCTTCTGCACGAGGACGTCTGGGCCCCATGTCAGCCCTATCTCAGATTCCCCAATTAGAATCTCTTGGGAAGGTGTCTGAAAGTAATCTAAAAATATGCCTAGCTAAGGACTCATTTCTAGGAGCTAGTGATTTTGTTGTTCCATATAGACAAGCAGATGGCCAACTGCTACCTCCATGAGCATCCTAGGAAGGAAAAGTTGTCATGAGATGACCACAGATAGTGTCCCTTACTAGCTGGCTTCTGAGCCCATGGTTAACCTCCTCCCCAATTCCAGGTTGCCTTACTGCCAGCACGACAAGGTGGCCTGGGAGTAGGACTAGGTGATGTTGGTTATAGAAGAGCCAAGGAGAGCCTTCCCAGACTCTCTGTTTCTGTGCTATACCTCACCAGCATCTGCACAGGACAGCAGTCTCAAACATCTCTCCTGATCATTGCTTCCTGGCTGCCTCACTTCTCTGGCTTTGGCTCAAGTCCCATTACCTTCGCCAGATCTTGCTTCCTTCTTGCCCTCCAAAGCCTACCTTCATAGAGGCATGAGGCTCTTTCCATAAAACACTTTGCCTCTGGTATCTTCCCACTCCAAGGTCTTCCATATGGTCTTGCCACATGGAGAACAAAATCAAATCATTGCAACTGGCCTGTGATTTCATTCCCAATACAAGCTTCCTATTTATCTTCTTAGCCTCATGTATCACACTCCTACCTTCAGTCCTTACTGTAGTCACATTGGTTAATACATAATTACCCAAATATCTGAAGCACTTTCCAAACTCCTGGCTTGTCTTCAAACTATTCTTCAAGCTCTGGGGATGTGCCAAAGCCAAGGCACCACAGTGAGGAAACACAAGTCACAGAGGTCTGGCATAGCTTGGGAGCACAGCTGAGGCTGGAGTGCAGACTCTTCTGAGAGCCTCATTAATTCTCCAGTTCCTTGGGAAGCCCTGGGTAGCCAATCCTGCTGCTTTTGGTCTTACCACCCTACTGGCCTAGCTCATAACCCTATATTCCAAGTCTTCCTGCTTGATCTCTACCCTTCCCTTCCACAGCTACCACACTCTAGCTTGGCAACAACCCTTTTTCTGCTGAGAGAAGAGGTAACAATTTTAATATATGAATATTTAACATAATATTATATAATATTTGAATATTTATGATTTTCATGCCAGATACTGCCAATGTAAATGTCTACACCTTGTATGTTATTCTGTATAACTCTGAGGCAAGAATTACTATCACTCCTATTTTATAAATGAGTTAGCTGATAGTTAAGTGTAGGAAGATAATTTTTGTTCCACATAAATGAACCCAAGATTTTCCCTGAAGGCTTACGTTGTTTCCTGAGTCTTCTAAGTGCCAGTGGGTGGGCTTATGGGGGAAGCATCCTAGAATCTCCTGAAACCATAAGCAATGCTTCTGTGTATATGGGCATTTCTGTGTATATGGGCATTTCCCAATATGGAATTCTTGGGTTTATAAAGCCTTAAAAATGATAAATGTAGTCATTACATACCCAAAACATGTGAAAAAGAAATGAAAAAATCTTAAGAATAATGAAACCATTTTATCTACTAGTAAGTTTATAAGCTATAAAAAGAGCAACATAGAATTTTAAATAGTGGGGCTAAAACTAGGGAGCTAATTTTCACATAGAGTTACTAGGCAACTCATCTTAGCAAAAAAAAAAAAAAATCCCCCCACATTATTGCTATGACGATCCATTAGACACATTTCAGTGATCTGTGGATTCAGGGCTTCTCAAAGTGTGATTCCTGTCTACCATCATCAGCTCTATTTCTTAATAGAAATTAAAATTGTGGTTTCACCTCAGATCTACTGAATCTATGGAGGAAGCTCAGCAATCTGTTTATGTAAGCTCTTTAAGTTTCTTGATGAATGCCGAAGCCTGAGAACCATTGCTTATAATTCATCCTCTTTGGATGCCTCGGCTGGATAACTGATGCTCTAAGATACCTTATTTTATGTAAATATATATGTATATACTGTGTGTGTGTGTGTGTGTGTGTGTGTGTGTGTGTAAGTACATATGTAGGTCTGGGATCAAATCTAAGGCCTCATGCATGCTAACAAGTACTCTACCACTGAGTTATATCCCTATTTCTGCCACAATTCTTTTTAGCCACTGGATCTACAAGGCTCTAAATATGCTGTGAAACACTGTAAAGCTTTTGTTCATGGAAGCAGACCTTTGCTTTCTTAAGGCTCTAGACGTGAAAGCACTGCGGTGAACTCTTCAGCCCCTGCTTTCAGCCTTGTAGTCCCAAAGCAAGAAAGCATCACTGTGGGGCTACTTGGTCTAAGTGATATCACATAGTACATATGCTAATGTTTGTATTATCTTTTTTTTTAAAATTTATTTATTTATTTTTTTTAATTTTATTTATTTATGTGTGTGTGTGTGTGTGTGTGTGTGTGTGGCCAGCTCAGCCCACCAGAGGGCGAGGCTGGCTGGCATGTGGTGCTGGGGGATCGAACTGCGGTCCCTGCGCTTTGCTAAGCTTATTCTAAGTAGGTGCTTTAGACCACTGAGCCATCTCACCAGCCCTGTATTATCTTTTGTAACTGTTTGTATTGGTCACTTTTCCTTTGCTGAAATGATGTACCCCTAACCCAGAACTTAAAGAGAAGTTTATCTGGCTCCCAATTCCCACTTGGTTGGCTGGCTATCCACGAAGGCAGAGATGGCGCCATGGAAGGGCATGTGGAAGAAAGTTACTGAACCTGTGGCTGCCTGGAAGCAGAAACAGATGGGAAGAACTGGAAATGAGAATAAATCTTTCCAGGTCACGTCCCCAGAAGCCCACATCTCACA